GTAGGTTATATATTATTATATGTATATATATTTAAAAATTAAATAAATTTTAATAAAATGAAAGAAAGTTTAAACTTATCATTTATAGAGAGTTAATTTTAAAATTATATATTGGAAAAAAAAATAATAAAAAATAAATAAAAAAATAAAAAAAAATAATAAATTTAAACACACAAACACATTAACACACACAAGCACACCAAAAAAAAATATAAACACACACAACACACACATACACAGCTCTATAAATAAATTTTGTTTTTTGTATATCGTGTTTGGGTTGGGGGTATTATTGTTTATTAATTCCCTTAAAAAAAAAATAACAATTTTGATATAACCGGTTTAAAAATAACTAAAATCAATAATTTTTTATTTGTTTTTTATTATAATATTTCCCAGTACCCCAAAATTAATGATATATATATATTTATTATATTTTATGTGAATGTGTGTTTGTGTGTTTTTAATATATGTGATTTTGTTATATGATGTATGAATTTTATAAAAAATATTAAAAGGAAGTGGGTGATTATATTGATGTGTGGGTCCCAATGTTTTTTGTTTTGTGTGTATTGAAATAAGGAGTTGCTAGGGAGTATTTTTATATTGTATGTGTGTGCTATCATATGGTTATTTTTTTTTTTTTATTTTTTTTTTTGTGTAAAAACTTTTAGATTACCCCAATTTTATCACACACCCACACACATACAATTTTTGTAAATATTAGTATTATCACAAATATAATAAGTTATTGATATATTGAATCACACATACATACAACAAAGCACAAAGAATGGGTTTTTTATAATTTTAATAAAATTTTATAATAGATTATAATATGTAAAAAATTATTGTTAAAATTATAAATAAAATGATTATATTTAAAATTACAATATTCAATTAACTATAATATAAAATTTAATAATACCAAAATAAAATATTTATTATTTTATTAAACAATACTATTTGTGAATAGTTATGTGTGATTAATAACTTTTTATTTTAATTAAATAAAACTTTTTGGTATAATTAAATATTGATAAGGCAAAAGATTATAAAAGTTATGATTTTTTTAAAAGGGAAGAAAAAAATGTATTTTAATTGTTAAACAAACATATATAAACACTGACAATATTGATAATGGTGTGGACTATTCCTTTTTTCAAAATTTATTTTTAAAATAACCTTTTTAAATATAAAAAAGATTTACCAAAAAGGAAAGAAAATATTTTAAAGTTATTGGGGTGTAAAATGATTTTATTTAAAAGAAACGACGGTAATATAATATATAATATTAAATGTACATATGTCATGTATGTGTATGTAAAGATATGAATAAAATAACAATAGTGATGAGTGGGAAGAAATTATTATTTTAAATTGATAGGGTTAAAGTGTTTTTAAATACATGCATGTGATATTAAATTAATAGTATTTTATTTTAATAACGATAGAATAAAAAAGTAAAATAAATTTAGAATAGTTTCGAAATAATAGTTATTTTACGTGTTTAATTTTATACAAAGTATATTGAATGTATGTGTTATTTCCTAACAATGTGACACAACTAAGAGAATGGTGGTGATTTAAGTGTTTTGTTATGATGGTATTGAAAGTAGTGAAATATGTGCATTAATACATGTGATAATGATTAAAGATTGGGATTTATTCATTTTAGATATATTTATTAATAAATAAAATAAATGTATAATATATTTTTTATATATAGTTTTATTAATTAATAATATTGCCATCAAAACACACATAACCAAAACCATTATAGTTTTATTAATTTCGGTGTTACTACTTATAGATATTATTAAAAGGATCTTTTATTTAATTGAATTATTATTTTTTTTCAATTATGATTGTAGATATAATAATAATTAACGATATCACTATTTATTGGAGATTGTAAAAAATAAATTATTATTTTTTAATATTATTTTTAGTGTGATTTGTTTTAAATCGATATATTTTATTAACAACAAACAAAAAAAAACAAAACAAAAAAAAAGCAATGATCAATTTTTTTTTTTTTCTTATAGTATGAGTTTTTTTTATTTTATTATTTATTGTTATTTTTATTTTAAAGAATAAGGATAGTGATTTAAATATATGAAATGAGTGTTTTATTTAATCTTTATCCCACAATGAGGAAAAAAGAAAAGAAACTATGATACCTACTTTTTAAAAGATAGCTTTATTGATAAAAAATCAATTTATTTCTTTATTTATTTATAACCAACTGGTGTAATTAATAAATTAAATAATAATTAATGAGGAAGAAAATTTATTTTTATTTTTTTTTTTTAATACAACCTCAGGTTTTTTTTTTTTTTTTATTATTTTTTTTATTATTATTTTTTTGTTTGTTTTGTAGCTGTTGTGTTGTGTTATTTTATTGCTTTTAATGTGTAATAGTTGTTATTGTTATTTTTGTTGTTGTTAAGTATTGTTTTTAAAATTTTTTTTTTCAATACTGTGGTAATTTTTTTTTTATAAAAAATAATTAAACAACCAAATTTGGGGGAAAAAGTGGTTGTTCAATTTTTTTTTTTTAACCCCATATGTGTGTTGTTTTTGATGAGCTTGTTTTAAATGGTATTAAAAACCAGATTGAGGCGTGATTTAAATTTAACACCAACAAAATTATTTTTGATTTTTTTTTTAATTAAAAATTACGACTTTAGTTGTTTTAATATAGATATAGCCTATTTTTATCTGTAATACTTTGAATATATTTAAAATTAAAAAAAAAAAGATTATAAAAAAAAAATATTAAATTACATTTATGGAAAGTTTTAAATTATATAGGATCATTATTATTATAAAACCTTAAAGTAACCCCATCAAACACTATACCATATTTGTATGATGTTAAATTATACAATATATAATATAATTAAAGCTTGAAAGAAAGAAGAGAAAGTTACTCTTTACTTTTTACTAAATATAAATACAAATCAATAAATGTTTTGTTTTTTTTTTTTTGTTTTTTTTTTATGTATCTTTTTATTTATTTTTTTTTTTTTATTATTTTTTAATATAAAATTGTTTTTAATAATTTAATATTTTTTTTCGAATCTAGATAAAGCAGATTTATCAGTTGATGTAAGAATTTCACTTTCTCTTTTCTCTTTTCTTTCTTTATTTCTTTCTTTAATTTGTTGAAGTTTAACTGGATCGAAAACACGATTTTTATCGACTTTTGGTTCGTTGGCTCTTTTGAATTTATCTTCTTCACTTTTAACACCAGATTGAATGGTACCAATAACATTTGGATCTAATGTAATCATATCGTGTGGAATCTTTTCGAGGAGTTTCTTTACCTCTTGTTCTTTCTTCATCTTGTTGCTTGCGAATGGATCTGCTTCCATAGAATCGTAGTTTGCAATACCACTGCCTGGTACTAAAGTTGAGCTAAAACCTGATTGTGTGCCAATACCAAGAACATCCTCAAATGGACAAAATTGAACAGAGTTTGCAATTGAATTATTTTTATGAATGAGATATGGTTCTTGGATGGATGTATCGAATGGATTCTTCCAAATGTATGTTTGCTTATCACCTGCTACTGCTAAAACATTGGTACCTGATAATGAGATTGCATTTGGTGTAATTTTAGTTGCAAAGGCATGTGTTTCTTGATAGGTGTTACGAAGATCAAATACTTTAACCATACAATCGCTGCCTGCAGTTACAAGATAATTACCAGATAAACTGACAGCCATGGATGTGATGGGTGATTTATGACAATGAATCTTAACGACTGGGTTTCTTGATTTTGGAATCCACATTTGAACAATACCAGTGCTAAAACCTAAATTCATAACTGCATTTTGTGGATTTTGACACATTGCGCTAAGTGGACCATGATAATGACTTTCTACAACTTTTTGACCAACTGAAATATCTTCGTATATAATTTTACCTTTGTTTGTGGCTGATACTAAAAGATAGTGGTATGGAAGGAAATCGATAAACTTTGGATCGTAGTGATCTTTAAGCCAATGTAATTCAACACCGTCTTGATTATAAATATATGTGTACTTCTTTTGGGCCAATGCAAACATTGTTTCATTGTGAAGAAAACATGCATCACGAATAGCCCCACCTAAATGTCTTTCTGTAAGTTTTTTACCTCTTTGCCAATCCACGATCGAGTAATGACCTCTTGCACCTGCTAATAATAAATATCTACCATTCTTTGAATATTCGAAATTGTATGGTCCATTTGGGTCTAAATTTAAATCAAAAACTTTACCAGATGATTGAATATCAACTTGTTTTGCAATTTGATGTTGGGTTAATTTATATGTTTTTTCTTTTTCATTTTCTGTAACAATAAAACCACAATCTTTTTGTAATAACATTTCACTCTTTAATGCTTGTTTAGCTGACTCTCTTTTTAAATCTCCAATTTTTTTTAAATTTGTTCTTAAATATGGATTTTTAATACCCTAAAAATTTATATTAAAAAAGAAAAAAAATTAATAAACTGCACAATTGTTATACCTTCTGTGTACTATAATAATAGATATGAATATAAATTATTGATACATACAGTTGGTGCAACAATTTCACCCTTTAAATATTTTCTAGCACCTTTTGGTACTTTTTTAGTTTTATCTATAGTTGTATCAAATTTGCCATTTTTATTACTATTATCTTGTTCTTCGTCATCTTCTTGATTGTTGGTATCGTTTTTAAATTCTGATATTTTTCTTTTTTTGCCAAATTTATTATTTGATTCTTCATCTGATCCATCTCCATCATCATCTCTATTATTATTTACATTTTCATCATCTGAATCACCAAAATCATTATCTGAATCATTTTCTGGTTTGCTACTATCATCATTAAAACTATTTAAATTTTTCCAATGTTTATTTATAATTTTTTCGTCTTGTTGTTCTAATGTTTCTTCATCTTTCTCTATGGTTGGTTCCTCTTCTTTAATCTGTTGTTTTTTTGGTTGAGATTGTTGTGATTTCTTAATATCTTTTTTTTGAACACCCATTATAAACTATATATATACTGTATTTAAATATAAATATAAATATAAATATTAATTTATAAAGTTTTGTTAAAATTTAGAAAAAAAAAAAAAAAAAAAAGTCGAGATTATAAAAAAATAATTTTTGTCGTTTTTTAAAAAAAAAAAAAAAAATAAAATAATTTTTTTTTTTTTTTTTTTTTTTTTCGTTTTTATCCAATTTTTTTTTTTAATTTTTATTTCTAGTTATATATTATTAATTTTTTTAATATTTAATCACATAATTATTATTTATATATAAATAAAAAAAATGTCATCAGTTGGCTTTAAACTTAAAGGTCCTCCACCAAAGGCACCAAATTATACAGCAGCAGCCAAAAATACAGACAGAGTTAAAGAAATTTCATATAATGAACATGACAGAAAAGATTTTTTAACAGGTTTTTCAAGAAGAAAAAAGGAAAGAAGAGAATTTGCAATGCAAAGAATCGCAGAGAAAGAAAAAAATGAAAAAAAAGAACAAAAGAAATTTGCACAATTACAAAGAGAAGCATTCCAACAATCCATTAAAGATTCCAAAAAGAAACATCAAGATGAATTTGGTCTTGAACATTCAGATGAAGAAGAATGTGATACTAAAGATACACAAGAAGAAAAAATTAAAAATGAAGTTAAAAAATCATTTGAAATTTCAAGTGATGATAAAATTGTTACTACTGTAATTAAACCATTATCATTTAATAGTGATGGTGAGGAGGAAGAGGAAGAAGAGGACGAGGATATGGAAAGTGAAGAAGAGGAAGAAGAAGAAGAAGAAGAAGAACAAGATAATGAAAATAATAAAAAACATCCAGTTGTTAAAAAGACTCAAACTAAAAAACCAGAAATTAATAAATTTAAAAAAGAAAAAGATACAGTATCACCAGAAAATTTAATTTTAATAAATAAAGATCAAAAGATCTATCAAGATGAAAAGGGTAGAAAGATTAAAATGAAAAAAGAAAAAGGTAAAATTATTCCAGTTGTACTTACTCAAGCTGCTGAAACTGCTTTAGAAAAAGGTTGGAAACTCCCAAGAGCATTAAGAACTAAAGAAAAGAAATCATGGTCATTTGCAACACAAAAGAAGAGTAGAAAGAAGGCTAGAAAAGAAAAAAAAGGAAAATAAATTATTTATAAATTATTTAATAAATTTAATAATGTATATTTTAGTATTTTATTTTTAATTTAATTTTTCATTTTTCATTTATTTATTTAATATTATAAAAAAAAAAAAAAAAAAAAAAGTAATTTTTTTATTAGTTTATTTAATTATAAATTTAATTAATCTATCTATTTATTTATTTATTTATAATATAAAATTTATTCGTTTGATTCATTTTCATCTTGGGAAATTGAAAATGAAAATGAAAATGATTTATTTGATGTATTGTTATCGGTTGTAGTTTCCCATAAAGATTTTTTCTTTGATTTTAATTTTTCTTCTTCTTTTTGTTTTCTTTCTTCACGTAATTTTTCTAATTTACCTGGGTATTTCTCTTCAAAGGCTTTGTTGAATTCGTCATGTAAATCTTTTTTCTTTTTTGTTGCCATAAAATCGACTACATTGAGAATGTTTTGTGAATCAATAAAGTTGTGAGTGACTGCAATCGATTCTTCTAAATTTAAAACACAATGCCACCATCCACATGGTACATAGATTAATTCACCTGCATTTAAAATACCCTCTAATGGCTTAACGTTTTCATAAGTATCCTGTTCCTGTTGTTGTTGTTGTTGCTTTTGTTGTTTTTCTTGAATAGCCTTATTTGAAATTTTCTTATCTCTTGATTTGAATCTTGTTTGCTTTTTATCATTTTCTTTTTGTTGTTTTGCAATTTCATCCTCCTCTGAATTCTTTTTATTTGGTTTTTCATAATAATTTAAAAACCATTCAATAATGGATGATGGGGCAGTAACTTCTAAACCGTCGTCTGATGGATGTACACCTGGTGGGACAACGTGTGGAGGATACATAACCCATTTCTTTCTACCTGTAATAACTGCATTCCAAGCTGATGTATGATTTGGATCCTTGTGGAAGGATGCACCTGATCTTTTTGGGCCTGCTAAAAGCCATCTAAAACTAGGTCTTTTATCACCTAAAACTGAAAAAATATCCTCTTTAAAAATATGTTCGGTGGAATACTCTTTAATAAGTTCTGGTACCTTTTCACCATAATAATGATCGAAAAGATACATTGGCATTTCTTCAGTGCACTGTCTACTGTATTCAAAGAAATCTGCAACATTCATAAATACACCAGCATTGACATAAAGTTTAGTATCACCACATTTTTGAGCTAAAGTTTCCCTTGTCCAATTTCTAGCTAACCAATCTTTAGTTGCATCTTGAAGGATAACAGGTTTATTTGGGATTAAATATTCGTTGGTAAACTCTTCAGCTGTCAAACCTGAACGTCTTTCAATTGTATCACCTTCTTCAAATTGACTGAGATCGACGGTGGAACATCTATGAATATGGAATAAGTAATCTGAGTAGAAATATTTTACTTGAATTGGTTTTGGTATAGTTTTGAATGATTTATCTGAATTTGATTTAAATGTATATTGCCAACTATGATTATATTTAAATTCACCATTTGAAAATTTATTGATGGTTCTAATTTTCCATTGCTCTTCTTCTTGAACATAAATATAAAATGATTTACTAACTAAACTAATAACTTGACTCAAAGTTTTTTCATCTAATAAATCTAAAATTGAATCTAAAATAAAATTATCTTCAAATACATTAAATAACCCCAATCCATTTTTTCTTGTGTCATACTAAAAATAAATAACCAAAAAAAAAAGAATCAAAAAATTAAAAAAAAATAAAAAAGGGAAAATGAAAAAAAAAAAAAAAAAAAAGAAAAAAAAAAAAATTAATAAAATTTAATTAAATATTAAATAAAATTAAATAAATCTATATTTACAAAATCTTTGTTTAATGAATCAAAATAGTAATTACCCTTTGGTTTAATACCATATGGGTGGGGGACATATAATTCTTCGACTTCATTTTCCTCTTCATAATCATCAAATTCTTCGTCTTGATTATAGTTTACCATTTCTTTATTTTATAAATTATAGTTAATTTAAACAAAAGTAATATGAAAAAAATAATTATTTTTTTAAAAACTATGAAATATTTAAAAAAAAAAAAAATTTTAAAAAAAATAAAATCTTTTTAAATTTTTTTATTTTCGTTTTTTTTTTTTTTTTTATAATTTTCATAATAATACCAAATTTAATTAAAATTTCTATTTAAACCAAAAATACGAAAGTTTATTATTACTTATAACTATAATTATAATAATAGATATTATAAAAACATAAATGGGTAAATCATCAAAAGATAAAAGAGATATTTATTACAGAAAAGCAAAAGAGGAGGGATGGAGAGCCAGATCTGCATTTAAATTAATTCAAATCGATGAAGAATATTCAATTTTTGAAGATGTTAAAAGAGTTGTAGATTTATGTGCTGCTCCAGGTAGTTGGAGTCAAGTATTAAGTAGAAGAATTTATGGTGATGGTAGCGACCCAAATGTTAAAATTGTTGCAGTAGACATTCAAGAAATGGCACCACTTAAAGGTGTTGTTCAAATAAAGGGTGATATCACAAAATACGAAACCGCAAAGCAAATCATTTCACATTTCGATGGCTCATTAGCCGATTTAATTATTTCCGATGGTGCACCAGATGGTAAGCAATTATTTTTATTATTTATAGCTATCATTCTCAATTTTTTTAATTTAAAATTTAACACACCTATTAATTGCAAAATTTTTATTTTAAAAAAAATTAGTTACTGGTTTACATGATATTGATTTTTATGGTCAATCACAATTAATTTTATCAGCATTAAATATTGTAGTACATACATTAAAACCAGGTGGCACATTTGTTGCCAAAATGTTTAAGGGCGATGATATGAGCCTTATGTTTTCACAGATGAAACTTTTCTTTGAACATGTTTCATTTGTAAAACCAAAAAGTAGTAGAGACTCCTCATTGGAAAACTTTGTTTTATGTAAAAATTATCAACCACCAGAAAATTATAACCCAAAAATTATAGATATCAATAATAGTTGTAATAATAATAATAATAGTAATAATAATAATAATAATCAAGAATTTTTTGTGGATAGTTTAATTGTACCTTTTATAGCAATTGGTGACTTAAAAGGTTTTGATTAATTTATTATAATAAAAAAAATATAATAAAAAAGTTAACAATTTATTTGAAAATTTAAAATCGATATCATTTTATTTTAACCCCTATTTTATTTTTCATTATTTTTATTATAAGAAAATTTAATTTAATTAAATACCATAAAAAAAAAAAAAAAATTAAAATAAATAATTGTTATTTTCATTATTTTTGTTTTATGTAAAAAAAAAAAGTTTTTTTTATTTTTTTTTTTTATTTTTTTTTTATATTTTTAAAAATATAAAAAAAAAATAAAAAAAAATAGTGGTTTTAAAACATTCCTTATCGAAAAATAATTATTTATAAATAAATACTCTTATATAAAATCTAAAAACTTATTGTTTGTTTTTTTTTTGTTTTTTTTTTCCCCAATATATTTTATATTTTTATAGTTTATATTTTTATTTTTTTATATTTTCATTTTAGTTTTTTTAACATTTTTTTAAATTTCATAAAAAAATAATAATAATCATATATGTATATTTTATTAGAATAGTATTTTTGTATAAATATAATTTGTTCATTTATTATATGTATAGTTTAATAATAGTTTTTTTATAGATATTATTGTTTTTTAATTTATTATTTAAACCCAATTTTTTTTTAATTTTAAAAAAAATAAAAAATTAAATAGTGCATTCAATACACCCACCACACAATAACAAAGCACACATAAACACACCCACACAAATATAAGATATAATAGCTTTAATATTATTCAGTTAAATCATAAATAAATAATATTAAAAAATAACAAGTAGAAAAAAAAAACTTAATTTTGTAATTAATTAATAAAAAAAAAACAACATAAATTTTATATAGAACAAAACATTAAAATTTACCTTTATAAAATAATATTAATAATATATAAAATAAAATATAATATAATAATAAATGGACATAGTTGAGGGTAATGATCCTCTTTCTTTAATTGCCAGAGAAGAAGAAGTTAAAAATCAAAAGTTATTATTATTAAAAGAGCAAAGAGAAAAGGAACAAAAAGAGAAAGAATTAAAAGAAAGAGAAACTCTTACTAAAGATAATATATATAAATTAGAAGAGGAAGGTAAAAAATTAGAGATATCCACCAAAGTTCATATTCAGCACCCAAATATAAGCACAGCTTTAGTTGACCACTCTTCATCTACAACAATTAATCAAGCGAAAAAGAAAAAATGGATCAATAGTTTTTGTATAGTTAATTTTGATTTAGAAATTGGTCAAGGTATAAATTTATAAATTTTCATTATAGGTTAATATAGATAAATTGTTTTATTAATATTCAGTTTTATTATAATATGCAGTTTTGGAATATAGCTACCCACAGGTTAATTTTAAAGAGGAGGAAACTACAAATTTATGTTTTTTATCATTTCCTGATTCAAATTCACATTTACAAGGAGATATAATCTATTCATTCAGGTTAAGGGAAACTACAACTAATAATGGATTTGGATCATTTCAATATGGTTATGTATTTTTTAAACAGGTTAAAGATGCTTCAATTTCAAGAGGTTATTTACAGAAATCAGTTGTATTATTAAGCGATGAATCATTTGTAGGTTTATTCAAAAAAGTTATGGAAATTGTAGGGCCACTCTATTTCGATCATGGTAATACATTATTGGAGGTAGCATATCAAAATATAATGGGTTGGCCAGAACTAAAGCTAGGTCAAACTTACGAATTGCCAATCTTGGGATATATATTAACATTTCACGTACCTCATACTAGAGGTACTCCACACATCATCGATCCAGTCGTCAAGCAACACATCGGAAGTGCCTCACAATCCCCACTTTGGAGTGAAATGAAGTTGGTCAGTAATTTGAAATCAATTGATATCTATGGTTGCTTTAAAAATTTTACAACCAAGCTTTGGATGCTCTGGGAGTTAGTTTTATTAGGTCACCCCATATTAGTAATTTCACCAAATCCTCCAATGTGTTCAGACAGCGTTTTAGCATTAGTCAGTTTAATATCACCATTGTTGTATTGCGGTGACTATAGACCATACTTTACAATCCACGATACAGATTTTCACAAATACACTCAATACTCTAATAATCCGAACAGCGCCACCGGTGATGGCTACGAAACAAATAATATACCACCATCAATTTTAGGAGTTACAAACCCATTCTTTTTGAAAGCTTTAGGAAATTGGCCAAATATTTTGACTATAGGTACTTGTCAATCTAGATTAGGTGGCTTTAAAAAAATTAAATCTTCTTTACCAAACATTATGTCAAAAGATATTCTTAGTCGTCACGTATTGGATAACAAAGAGAAAATAATTTCAGAATATAAATGCCTCACTTCCCCAGATAAAACCATTTTAAAAAAAATAACTGTTTCAGAAAATACAGACGAAAATGCCATAAATGAAACTTTGCGTACCTATTTTTTACAATTAACTCAAAAATTTTTAATACCATTGGAAAGATATTTTTCATCATTATTACCGCTAGCAAAGTATGTATTAATATTTTATATTTATTCAATAAAACCAAATTATTAATACACTTTTTTTTATAAATTTAGAACCATATCAATTTTTCAAAGACCACCAAGATTAAAACCATTTGATAGAGAGGAGTTTATAAGAAGAATAACAGAAAGTGATGAAAGATATATTATCGATAGTAAATCAAAAGAGATTGAACTTTATAAACAATTTTTAGATTCTGTAAACTTTAAGCAATGGTTAGACGATAAAAGAGCTGAAGCAATAAGACATTTAAATATTTTATATAGAAAAGCAATTTTGGATGCTGATATTCATTCATTGTTAAAGGGTAAACCGATTTCAATAGCATATGATCTATGTAAAAGAGTTGAGGATCAATTGGTAGGTTATAATAAAAAAAAAAAAGAAAAAAGAAAAATACTAATATTTATTTTAAATTTTTATTTTAGATATTAGAAGAAAATCTTTTCCAAACATCAAATGAAATAAAAGATAAATTTAAATCACATATAGAAATAGTACGAAAATATATTAATAGCTCAAAATAAATAATACATTGTAATTAATAATAAATAAAATAAAAAAGGATTAAAAAGAAAAAAAAGCTTTTTTTTTTTTATCATTTTTAATTAAAATAAAGAAAATAGTTTTTTTAATTTTCTTGAATAAATAAAATTTTATTTAAGGTATAATATATTTATATAAAGTTAAAATTAATTAAATTATTGTAAAAATATTATTCGTTATTATTTTAATTGTATTGTTACTGGTACTAATAACGTTGTTGGTGTTGTCAATATTTACAATTTGATTATTATATGTACAATCATTAAAGTTTAAATTATTGGTGTTGCTATTTACAAAACTTATATTATTATTGATAATAAAATTGTTGTAATTATTATCTATATTTAAGTTATTATTATTATTATTATTATTGTTATTATTGTTATTATTATTATTATTATTATTATTTTCTAAAATTATATTATTATTATTATTGAGTTCGTATCCTTTTGAAATACTATATTGCTTTAGTGATTGGTAAAAGCCAAAATTTGGACTAACTATTGGACGTACGTTTTGAACAAAAGAATAGGCCTTGTTAAGGGGACAGTTATAAATATGCATAATATATAATATGACGAGTGATGCGCTTCTACTAATGCCCTTATGACAAAAAACAAGTACTTTAGTATCGGAGCCATTCTCTTTTCTTGCATTATCTATAAATTCTATAACATAGTCAAATATGTTTTCTATTGGTTGATTTGGATTATCTACAAGGTTTAGTTTTAATGTTTTTATATTTTTATTGTGTTGAATATCGTGGTGTTCGACTGCACAGTTTATTGAATGTGTGATGCCGGTTCTCTCTAATAGTTCTGTATTTGATGCAATTGAATGGTCACTGAGGTATATATAATCAGTGATTTTTGATAGCACTTTTGATCGGTCTCTTTCAAATCGTGGCATTTCCAAGTCATTTTGAATGATACACTTTAAATTTAATTTTAAATTTAATTTTAAATTCATTTTATAATTATTTGAATATGATTTTATTTGAAAGTTATCTGTAAAATTTATTTTATATGTTGGTTTATTTATCTATTAGATAATTTTGAAAAATGTTTGGGAAAATGATTATTTTTTTTTTTCTGTTGTTGTTTAAATTTATAATTTTTTTAAGTCTTGAGTTGTTTGAAAAAAAAACTGCCCCAATTGGATGAATGCAGTTAATTATATATTTAATTATTGAGTTTAAAAAAGGTAATAAAAATAAATTTTATTATACTTTTATATATATTGTTCTATTTTTATAAAAATGATACCATTCATTTGTGGTTAATGAAATAAATTAATGGGTTTATAAAGTGTAAAGATAAAATTTAATTGTAATTGATTTTTTATGTGATGGGTATATATATTATATTATTGATAAATTATATTATGAAAAAAAAAAAAAATAATAATATAATAAAAAAATAAAAAAAAATAAAATAAAAATAATAAAAATAAAAAAAAAAACAAACAACAGCAAAAAAAGGGTAAAAATAATACATCACCCACATTCACAAACAATAACAACCCACCCAAATTTATCGTATAAATTCGGTAGTTAAAAATTGCACTATAAATATTATGAGTGTTTCTGATAGATACACTATTAATAGTACTTTTACTTTTTCAATTTTAAAAAATTGATATTAATAATAGATTTGTATAACCCACGTTTTAATGGTGATTTAAAAAAGATTGTCTCACAAGACAACCCCATTGTGTTATTTTTAACCTTTTTTTTTTTTTTTCTTTTTTTTTCTTTAATGGGTCACCAACAAAATTAATTTTAAAAAATTTTAAAAAAAAAATTACAATAAATTTTTATTTTGAATTTTTTTATTAATTTTTTTTATATTTTATTTGCCACATTTCTATTTTTAAAATTTTTTTTTTTTTGAACCCAAAAAAAATCCCCCAATTTGGTATTTATTATAAATTTATAATTTTTTTTTTTTAAATTTATTTTTATATTCTAAGTTACTTAAATCATATCAATATTTGAATGAAAATTAAATCATAAATTTTTTTCAAAATTAAATTTTTTTAATTTTTTTTTTTTTTTGATAATCATAAGTAATTACACAAAACAAAATAATAAATTAAATTTCTTTATATATATAAATATAAAAAAAAAATTATATAATATTTACAAAATATAAAATTTATTTATTTTAAATGAACATAATTATTGAAAAAATTATTTGAATTAATAGATTTTAATTCTATTTCAAATCAATATTAAAATAATAAATAGGGGTATAATTATGGTTATAATATATTTTATATAAAATGTTTTTTTTTAAATTTATAACATGAGTACTATTAGGTTAGAACATTTAAAGTAGGATTTCAAATTAATTATTTTTTTTTGTATTAATTGTTTACCACTCAATTTTTGAACCATAGATATTTAAAAAGTGAAATAGTTAACACATTTTATTTATTTATTTATTTAATCTTAATTCGTTTTGGTTATTTAATTTTAATTCATTTAAGATATTCAATTTTAGGTATTTTTATTTCAAAATGCATTATATTTTCCAAACATGTAATAAAGTGCACTATACACAACTTTAGCAAAAGGGAATTTTCTTAATTTAAACTATTAATTTGAATCCTAGGTTAGAAATTAAAAGGGTCTTATACTTTAAACATTGTAATAAAGTGCACTATGCACAACTAAGGCGTGAGGTGACTAACTTAGCAAAAGGGAAATTTCTTAATTTTATACTATTAATTTGAACTCCTGCCTTAAATGTTCAAACCTTATGGGGGTCATATACTACAACATGTAGTATAACTGCCCCCGTCCGACCATATATATACTATTATGATATTGCTACATTAACGCTATGACCCTAGACTTATTAAGACTCACTAACTGCTGTTTATTAACTACTGTTTAGTAACTACCAATTCCAGTATTTCCAACTAACTTATGAATTAGCTTCTAGAACCAATCTCATTCAGTATAAATACCTCAAGTTCTCAGTCTAAAACTTCAGAGGTTTTTTTTATTCTATATTATTCAATAAACTACAATTTTATTACACATATAATACATATTTGTTTATTTGTTGTTTATTTGTTACAGTTGTTCGCAAAAGTTTTGACCCCCTAATAAAAAACATTAGAAAAAAATTTTAATTTTAATCTTATCTTAGGTTTTTGACTATAAATCCATTTTAAAAATATTTATAGATAAACTTATACGGTTTTTTTATATTTTTTTTGTTAAATAAAAATTTAAAATTTATTTTTTTAAAAAAATTTTTTTAATTTTTTTTTTATAGCGCCCATATGAAATGGGGTCTAAATTTTTGAGAAGATAATTCAATTTTATTATAATTTTTTATTTTTATTTTAATTTTTTTTTAAAAACAAATAGGACAGTATATTCATAAAAAATAGAAAAAAAAAACAATAATGACCCTTTTTTTAGAGTTAATAAATGTGATTTTAAAAATTTACAAAAAAGCAAAAAATCATCAAAAAGTTAAAGATATATTGAGTGAAGTAGGTCCACAGTTAAGAGAATTTTTTAAAAAAAATCTAGAAAAAGGTACAATTGAAGAAAATACAATACCTGGCATAATAAGAAAGATGGACGACCGAATTGAAAGACATTGTAGAAAATAAATTTGAAATGGGAAATGTCATAATTTAAGTAATATAAAAAGATATCTTAGAAAAAACTTTCAAAAAAATGTTTCAATAAGTTCAAATAGTAGGTCTCTACAACATAATAATGTTTTTTTTAAAAGTTTAAAATGTAAACACTTTCCAACCGAAAAATATATGTCTCAAAGCTAAGGTGGGTAAAAAAGTGCCAAAATTGGGCAGCTGAAAATTGGGAAAAGGGTAATATTTGTTGATGAAACCAGAATTGAAGGATTTTCTTATTAATTGAAAACTAAAAAATGGATTCATGATACAAGAAACCTAAAACAAAACATATTGGCCAAACGAAGATGAGGTGGCAGCTCAATATATACATGATGTTGTTGCACAGCTCATAGTGCAGGTCGTATATGTATTATCAGGTTTAACACAAATGCTGCAAAATATTTAAAAATATTAATACAGGGTTATAGAAGAACTTTACGAGAGAAATGAATTTTATCTGGTCATATGTTTCTTTTACAAGACAATTGCTCTATTCATATGACCTAATTATTGGCCGATTTTTAAGAAAAAATGTACATTAGGGTGATATTTATTCTACCCTGTTCACCAGATCTTAATATTATTGAGAATATATGGTCAATAGTAAAACGAAGTATAAAATTGATTTCTATCGGGTACCCACGTCATAATTTCAATCTTTTAATTTGTTGAATTTTAAAAAATATTCATCAGGATATATTTGATAATCTTTATGAATCAACCTCAATAAAAATACAACAAATAAATAAGAACTAAGGTGAATTCACAAAATATCAAGAAACAAAACATTAAAAAAAAAATTTCGTTTAAAAAATAAATTATATATTAAAATTTAAATTATCTTTTTAAAAATAATGAACCCATTTTTTTTATATGTAAAAAAAAAAAAAAAAAAATTTTCAAAAAAAAAAATTTTATTTTATTTTTTTTTTATAAAAAAATATAGTTCAGATGTTCTAAAATTTATTTTATATTTTTTAGAATAATTGGAATTAAAATTATTGAAGATAAATAAAAATAAAAAAATTTTAAAAAAGGGGGTCAAAACTTTTGCGAAGAACTGTATACTTATTTTACATATAAATCATTTGTAAGCTGTATAGAGCTTCATTACAAACATTCATAACTCTTCCCCGTTGGTCTAGTGGTGAGGATTTTCGCCTGTCACGCGAAAGGCCCGGGTTCAATTCCCGGACGGGGAGTCTTTATAATAAGATTTATCTTTTCGGAGATTTAAAAGTTTTATATATTCCACTTTTTACAAATTACCTGTAATGTAGATGGAGCTACTTTAGTTATAGATAAATAATAAATATAAATAATTCTAATAATCAAATAAATATACAATTATTTGTTTGTGAAAACTAAAACCGAAAACTGAAAACTAAAAAATAAAATTTTATTTTTTAAATTTTTAAATTTTTCAATTTTTTTATTTTTATTTTATTTTTAATTTTTAATTTTAAATAATAAATTATTTAAAATAAAGGAAAATATAAATATATTATTTAGTTGAGATATAATTATAACTGTAATATTCATTTAATTCTAAAATGCATATGAATACATTAAAAGTTTATTTATTATGTAATGGTATACCATGTAATAAACTAGGTGTAAGGTACTAAGATCAAATAATTTTAAAAATTTCTTTTTTTGGTGAATTAAAATAATTGTTAATTATTATTAATTAATGTTGATTATTATTGAGTAATGATCCTTGTTCATTACACATCCCCTTCCTAAGCGGAGCCTAAAATTACTGGTTTGAACTACAATACCATAACCTAATAACTTTTTTATTTTTTTTTTCTTTTTTTAAACTTGAATTGATTGACCAACATCTCTGTAATGGGCTTCAAAACTATTAACCATATCTTCACATTCGTCTTCTAAATAAAAATTTGGTAGCCATGTATCATTATCTTCATTTGAATTTTTGTATCTGATTAAATATTCTATTCTTTCACCTTTGCCATATTTACGGATTCTTCTTTTAATGATCTTTTCAATTTCATCTACAAGTGGTTTATAATTGTTCTTTTTCTTTCTAGTTAACAAATTCTTATTAGCTTCTACATATAACCTTTAAATCACTGATGTTTACTACCCTAGTTCAATAACAATCAACACTAATTAATAATAATTAACAATTATTTTAATTCACCAAAAAAAGAAATTTTTAAAAAAAAATAAAAAAATAAACATTTCATATAAATTTTATTTTATTTAATTATTTGATCTTAGTACCTTACAACCACTCTTACTTCTCTGTATCCCTTCCAGAGACTGGTAAGAGTCTCACTATAATTAGTGCTAAGTTAATCATTTTACTGATTAATTAAAACCTTCACTTTTAAAAAAAAAAAAAAAAAAAAAATTAAAACCATTTACTTTTAATTTTCTTCACTTTTAAAAAAAAAAAAAAATTTAAATAAGACAACATTCTTTAAAATTATAATAAATAAAATTTAAATAAAAAAATTAAAAAAATAAAAAAAATAATTAAATTTTTGGTAAATTTATTATTTATACTTCAAATCAAAAAATAATTATAAAAAGAAAGATACTGAATATATAATTTCCTTTTTATATAGTTATATTTGTTTTTATGTATTTATTTAAAAAGTTTGATTTTTTTTTTTTGTATTGTCAGAGGTATTTTGATTGTTCGATATTGTGGATGATTAAGATAATGGTTGTGGCATTAATATTTTTTATTACCTATTGGTCTTGTTGCTGTTGCTGAATTTGAATAAAACTTATGATTTTTGGTTGTTTCATACTAATTGACTTACATCATTTCATCATAATTTAAAACCGGGAAAAATTTATATGTTAAAACTTTGTTGGTATTTGGTAATGAGTCTGGTGGAAATAATTGTTTAAATGTAGGATTGTTTGTTGGAAGAATTTTTGGTAATGTTCCTGGTGGAAATTCTTGTTTAAAATTATCTCTGAGTGTGAGTGTGGTGAGACGATTTGGTAATGTTCCGGGTGGAACTAATTGGTTAAAATCACGACCCAATGTGAGTGTTGTGAGACTATTTGGTAATGTGCCGGGTAGAACTACTTGGTTAAAACAAAGACCGAATGTGAGCGTTGTGATACTATTTGGTAATGTGCCGGGTGGAACTACTTGGTTAAAAACAGCACCGAATGTGAGTGTTGTGAGACTATTTGGTAATGTTCCAGGTGGAACAACTTGGTTAAAATCATGGCCGAATGTGAGTGTTGTGAGACCATCTGGTAATGTGCCGGGTGGAACTACTTGGTTAAAAATAGCACCGAATGTGAGTGTTGTGAGACTATTTGGTAATGTTCCAGGTGGAACAACTTGGTTAAAATTATGACCGAATGTGAGTGTTGTGAGACTATTTGGTAATGTGCCTGGTTTAACCACTCGGTTAAAATCATCACCGAATGTGAGTGTTGTGATACGATTTGGCAATATGCCGGGTAGAAATTCTTTGTTAAATTCAGCTCCAAATGTGAGTGTTGTGAGACTATCTGGTAATGTACCGGGTGGAAATTCTTGGTTAAATTTAGTTCCGAATGTGAGTGTTGTGAGACTATCTGGTAATGTGCCGGGTTTAACTTCTTGATTAAAACCATAACTGAATGTGAGTGTTGTTATACGATTTGGCAATATGCCGGGTAGAAATTCTCTGTTAAAATTAGTTCCAAATGTGAGTGTTGTGAGGTTATTTGGTAATGAGTCAGGTAGAACTACTTGGTTAAAATTATGACCGAATGTGAGTGTTGTGAGACTATTTGGTAATGTGCCTGGTTTAACCACTCGGTTAAAATCATCACCGAATGTGAGTGTTGTGATACGATTTGGCAATATGCCGGGCAGAAATTCTTTGTTAAATCTAGCTCCAAATGTGAGTGTTGTGAGACTATCTGGTAATGTACCGGGTGGAAATTCTTGGTTAAATTTAGTTCCGAATGTGAGTGTTCTGAGACCATCTGGTAATGTGCCGGGGGGAAGTACTTGAATAAAATAATAGCCGAATGTGAGTGATGTTAGACTATTTGGTAATGTGCCGAGTGAAACTAATTTATTATAGTCTTCACCGAATGTGAGCGATGTAAGACTATCTGGTAATGTGCCGGGTAGAACTTCTTGGTCAAAATCAGTACCGAATGTGAGTGTTGTGAGACTATTTGGAAATATTCCGGGTAGAAGTCCCAGGTTAAAACGATGACCGAATGTGAGCGATGTTAGACTATTTGGTAATGAGCCATGTTTAATTACTTGGTTAAAATTAGTTCCGAATGTGAGTGTTGTGAGACTATTTGGTAATGCGCCAGGTGGAAATTCTTTGTTAAAACTAGTACAGAATGTGAGTGTTTTTAGACTATTTGGCAATGTGCCAGGTGGAATTAATTGGTTAAATCTATCACCGAATGTGAGTGAAGCTATTGTATTTGGTAAAGTAAAAATTAACTTTTTAGAAAAATTGTGCAAATATAAATTTGTCAAAAATGGTGGAAATTCATTTTTATTTGGTATTTGATCACCATACCACTTAAGTGTTTTTATATATGATTTATCTTTAAACTGATCATAACGGGATTTATCAAGATCTACAACATTAAAATGAATAGACTTAAAAATCATTTTATAAATTTTTTTTCTTAAAAATTTAACCCCCCATATACTATTCCAAGATGCATATAATAATCTAATAAATAGTTAAAAAGAGGAAAAACCAATTAATATGTTTTAATAAATATTTATTGTATTGTACTTACCTATCACTAATATTACTACTGTTTCTTAACTCTTCATTTATGGGAATGTACACAAGAGATAATAGTAGCTCTTCCATTGTTAATATAAAAAAATAAAAAAAATATTTTACCCAAATATTTTTTTTTTATTTAAAAATTAAAAAAATAACAAAAAACTTAAAAAAATTAAGAAAAAATTAAAAAAATAAAAAAAAACTTAAAAAAATTAAGAAAAAATTTCAAAAAAAAATATATAAATTTTAAAAAACTTAAAAAAACATCTAAAAATTTCATAAAAATAAGTGTTTTAATTATTTTTTGTATTTTCCAGAAGTGATTTGGTTGTTAGATATTGTGGATGTTAAAGATATTGGTTGTGGCGTTAATATTTTTTATTATTATTATTTGGTTTTGTTGCTGCATTTAAATAAACTTATGATTTTTGGTTGTTTAAAACTAATTGATTTTCATCATTTCATCATAATTAAAAACCCGGAAAATTTATATGTTAAAACTTTGTGAAATTTACCAGTTCCCACTCTTATATTGCAGGTACTTTAACCAAATAGTGATACCAACATGTTTTCTTTTAATGAAATATTTAGATAGCTTCTATTAACATAGGTGTTGGCGGTGGAATAGTTGATGGATGAGCTTAATTAGACCAATTTAATAACCATATTTACATAGAATAACATAACCCCAAAGTTTGATTTGTGACATAAAATGGGTCGATACTGAAAAAGAAGGATTAGACAAGAACCCCAATGATTGATTTCTGGTTTAAAAAATATTGATACTGAAAAGAAAGAATAAACAGCGACTAAAAACGGTTGATATTGAAAAGGATAGAGCTAAAAAATATTTTAGTATCTTTTTTTTTTAAAATAATTTTGTTAATATTAACATTATAGTTACCTTGAGTATAGACTTTAAATAGTACGTGTTGGTAATGAAAAAGAAAGAATTTAACTAAATATGAATTAAATATAAGTTTCTTTTTTATATAAATATAATAATAATTATATAAATATTATCATTTTAATTACCTTTAGAAGAAAAATGAAGAAAATGTGTTGGCGGAAAAAAGGAAAAATTGGATTTAACTTAACCAAGAATTATATTATATTAGTACCTTTTATATTCAAATATATTAATAATTATCTAATATTATAATTATAGTTACCTTTGGAATTATTTTGTTATATTTGATCTTGGGACATTTAGAATTATTCTGTAGATTTGAACTAGTGTGATACATTATTTCTTATGACAAATGTTGATAAAGATTATTGTTTCTGGATGATGTAGATGACTTTCTTAATTCCATCGAATTCAATAATTGAATTAAACGATTTTATTAATAATTTAGTCTTAATCTTGTTCTAATGAATGAAACATTGAATAAAGAATTTAAACTATTAATTTAACCGCCATCAATTTCATTATTGATCCATATCTATATAGTTATTGTCATATTTATCTTTATCATCATTGCCCTATAAACCTTGAGCACTAGCTACTCTCTGCAATAAATAATAAAATGAAATAAATTAATATATTTTAATTATTTTGTATTGATATAAATTTAATGGATTACTTACTCTGATGTCAGTAAATGGTAATCTACAGTTTGGGCGGTAAGGTAGCTTTTGGACCATTCATCAATACATACATAGCAGAATCTATGAACACATGCAATGGTTGCGAGTTCACTGGTCTCAATTTCACTAAGACAAATTGTGCTTTTGTCATCCCTTTCTAAACGGGCCCTTTCCAATCTTTCTTGTTCTAATATTCTTTGTTCTTCTCTTAATTCTTATTGAATTCTCTTTAATCTTTTTATTTCTTTATTTTCTCTTTCAATTTCTGCTCTTTCTTATCTTTTTAGTTGTCTTTGGATGCCTCTCAATTTTGATTGTTCATATCTTTACTTCTCTTTCTTTTTGAATTCTTTCTAATATTCTTCTTTCGTATTCTTCTTTTATATCTTGTTCTCTTTGAAGTATTTGATTTATTAGAATTCTTTCAATTTCTTCCCTTTCTCTGAAAATTTTTGATATTCTTTCCATTTCCCTTTGCTCTTATAATTTTGTCAAATTTTATTTTTTCTTCTCTTACTCTTTCCGTTTCAATTAAAATTTGATTGTCTCTATTTAAACTCTCTTCATTTCCGAGTTTATGCTTTTTTGAAATTGTATCACAATTTATTACATTATCTAATTCCAATGGTCTTTTCTTCATTGGACTATTGCCAGTTGATGTGGACGCCCAGACGCCCAGTCATGGCTATTTCTGGATACTGGCTTTCTAAATTTGTGGTTCTTGATAATGGTGATGGTACAGAGACTGAGGCTGATGGTGCAGAGTCAGAGGCATATGCATAGGCAGATAGTGCAGATACAGATGATACTGGTGCAGATCCAGATCCAGATGATGCAGATACAGATGATGCTGGTGCAGAGACTGAGGCTAATGCTGGTTGTGCAGAGTCATAGGCAGATGCAAAGGCAGATCGTGCAGATGGTGCTGGTGCAGATGATACATATTCTGATCCTGATGGTGCTGATACATATGATACTGGTGCAGATACTGATGCCTCTGCAAATGGTGCATATGCAGATCTTGCAGGTACCAATGATGCAGATCGTGCAGGTATTGATCCTGGTGCATATACAGATACAAATGGTGCAGATCGTGTATATACAGAAGATGCTGGTGCAGAGGCAAATGATGCAGAGGCAGAGGCAGATGATGTAGAGGCAGATGATGCAAAGGCAGATGGGTTGATTGGGTCTTGGGTGTGGGTGGTATTATTGTTGTTTCTAATGTTATTGTTATTGTAATTGTTATTATTATTGTTATTGTATTTTTTGATAATAAAAAATGCTAATGAGAAACTGGCGATACCACATAAAAAGTAAAAAAAAAGTAATAAATCCATTTTTAAATATTAATTAAGTAAATTATTTTAAAAATATAAAAAATTATTATTGTTATTATTAAAAATTATTATATGTGCAGAATACTATTATGAAAAAATAAAATGTATGATTATTTGTATGTATATAAAATAATAAAGAAAAAAAAAAAAAAAAAAAAAAAAACTATTTCAAAATGCTATGAAAAAAAATTAAAAAAAAAACTTTTTCAAAATACAATGAAAGAAAATTAAAAAAAAAAGTAAATTAAAAAAAATTAAAAAATTTTAAACAGTGTTTAAATGAAAAAGGAAAAAGTATATTTGATTATTATAATAAAAAAAAAATATTCCTCTCTATTACAAAAACTTCGTTTGGTTCATGTCACACTAAAGTTTACAATTCATATTAATTAAATTAAATAAAAATAAAAGATAATAAAAATTTGCTTTTTTATTACTACTATCAATATTTAATTAAATATAGTTTAATTAATTTATTTAAAATGTATTTTAATTATAGTTTATTATAATGCCCATTGTCTAATTTGTTATTGACCATCTTTTGATCAATGAATTAATTACTGTTGCTATTATTATTGATACCAAATAATTGATACGGATCAATAGAGTTCAATGTAATTAATATTTTCTTTTCTTTCGTCCTCTTTAAAGGTGTCACCAGAACTATTGATTGATATCATTGTTTCTTTAAATTTCAACGTAAATTCTTTCATTTCATTTCTTTGATCCCTGTTTTTTTGCTCCAGCTCTTCATTCTCTTTGCCTAGACTGAGGATGGAGTTGTTTAAAGCCTTCATTTTAGTATTTACCTTTTTTAATTCATCTTTTTGGTTGGTTTTGATTTTTCATTCTCTTCTCTAAATATTTTGACTGTATCTTGATGTTCGTTTAGTATTGATATCTTTGATAGCTTCATTTTCTCTCCTGTAATGTTTTAGTTCACATTCTAAACTTTCTATTATCTCTTTATACCTTTGAGTATTTCTGTATAATTTGATCCTTTGCCTCAATTTCTTTTGATTTTTTTTTATCTATATTTTTTAATTTGAATTTTATAGTCCCTATTAATTTGATCTTGATATTCTTCTAAAAATTTAATTTTCAATTAACTCTTTATTTTTATTATTTTTTATTTTTGTTGATTGTAATGATTCTTTTGGTTTTTTCTCCAAATTCATATCGTTTGAATTACCATTAAATTTGAAATTATTATTATAAATATGATCCATTTTTAATTATCGTTTTTATATTACTTTTTATAATATTATGCTAAATTTGATCATACAAACAAATTGATCTTTAGTCTTTTCTAATATGTTTATTATTTTATTATCATTATTGTTTTATTGGTTCAAAATATGACTGTAATTGTACAAAAAAGTTTATTTAAATTTTTATAAATTAAAATGATTTTATTTTGAAAAAATATTTTTTTTTAAATTTTTTAACTTTTTTCTATTTTTAAATAAAAAATCAAATTTTTAAAGACATATATTTAGGTAAATAGTGTATATATATATTGTTTTATGTTAATAATTTTAGAAATTTCCTTTTTAATTTAAAAATATTTTTTTTTTCTTTTTCATTTTTATAATAATTTTTTTATAAAATGTAACTTTTTTTTTTTTTTTTCTTTATACTAATTCAATTTAAAATGGAACCTAAAAATACTATTAAAAAAAGAAATAAAAGTCTAGCAGTAAATCAGGATTGACTTTAGACTACCAAGTAAACCAGTAGCATTATAGAATAATTTAATTAACAAGTTTGATGGTATTGTTGATACATTAGAAAGATGGAGTGATAACTTTCATTTAAATAATGAAATAAAATCTAACATCAAAATCAAATTTTCAGATATATAATTAGAAGATATCAAACATAATACAATTCAAGTGTTAAGAGATAGATATTTAACCAATCCAAAACACACATATATAAAACAATTATAAATGTAGAAAAACCTCAATTTCAATTTTTGAAAGGTCTTATGTTAATTTATAATATTAAGTAATAATATTAAACAAAAAGATAATACCCAAAATATTTATATTTTTAAAAATAATAATATAATTAAAAATTATGTAGTATAATAAATTTAAATGAAAAAAAATATAAAAAAAATAAAATATACAGTGTTTTTTGTTAAATTAAATTTATCTATAAAAATTTTATGAACATGATCTAGTTATTAAAATTTGATAAAATATTTTGAACTAGTTGCATTTGTAATCTCTCGATTTGTTTTACTACATATTGGTGCAAAGTTGATTCGAAAGCTTGCTTCTTTAAATATCTGTGTTCATTTTTTTTTCCTATTTCCTTTATATCTTTTTCCTTTTCTTCTTTTTTTTTGATCATGGCTTCAATTATAACATTGGTTTCATATTTAATAATTTCAAATAGCTTTTCATTTACTTTTCTTAATTCGTTATAATTTGATTTTTCAATTTCAAGATTGGTTTCTTTGATTTCATAATCTTCTTGAGCGTTTTCAAAGGATTGTTCCGATTCTTCAATTTCTTCTTGCATTTTTCTTAGCGATATGGCATGGATTTCTCTGGCACGATATTTTTTTTTTAATAAATGTAACTTTTCAATTATTTCTTCTTCTGAATCCTTTATTTCATTTTCTAATCTAGAAATTTCCATTTGTTCTTCATAAAAATATGGTCTTTTATTTCCAGTATACTTTTGAATTTTTATTTTCTTATCAATAATTTCTTCTTTTGTTTCTTCAATTTCCTTTTCATTATCCTTGGCAAGTTTTTCGTTGATTATTTCATCTGTTGTTCTTGGATCAACAGTTGGGATGGCTCTTATCTTTTTATTTCTTTGTTCCATTTTTGAATATAAATTATTTTGTATATCTGTAATTACAAATTTTTTTTTTTAAAAGTTATTAATATTTGTAATAAATTTTGATTATTAATACTACTTACATGAATAATGTTAAATAGAAGGTCAATGTGGGTGAATTAAAAATAAAAATAAAAAATAAAAAAAAAAAATAAAAAAAATTAATTTTGAATTTTTTTTTTTTTTTATTAAAATATCATTATTTTTTGAATGCATTCACTTTTATAATAATAATTACTTTTTGAAAAAGATTCAAAAAGATGGAAAAAATTTACATAAGCTTTAAACTAAAGATCTTTATTTTGATAATGAATTGAAAATTAACTAGGGATGGAGAATTTTTAATTCTATATAATAATTTGTACTTAGTAAAACGGTTGAAAGTGTTAATTGTTTTTGTTGATGGTATTTAATTGATAAATGATAATAAAATAACCCATTGTTGAAAATAAACTTTATAGGAAAGAATGCAATTAATTCTGGGTAAATAGATTTTAGAATTGAAATTTCGTTTTTTTCAAATTGATTAACTTGGATTTAGATATGGAAGGCAGAATGAATCGATGAATGAATAGAGTTTGATGGATTGCTTTCTTATTTTTATATGAAATGATTATTTTGATGATTATTCCATATTAATATTATTTACTCTATTATCTTTTTCCTTGTCTGGATCGAATTTTGCATTATTATTTATAATATAATCTATATCCATTATTTTTTTTATTTGTTTATTATTATATCGTTATTTGAATATGATTATTATTTATATTATTATCATTTTTATTTTCATTATTATCATTAAAATTATTATTAATATTATTATTTATATTTATATTATGTGTTGAAATAGAAAGTATTTTAATAAATCTTTTTAAGTTATAAAATTAAATATTAGTTTCTTTATATTTAAAAATAATAAAAACAATTATAAAAATATTAACTTAATAAATACCTTTAAAGTACAAATACCCTAATGAATGATGAATGGCCTGAAAACCACATTTAATAAGAATAAAGTAAACCCCAATGGATAATGGGTGACTTGAAAAAACCCCCAATGCTTGATAAATGACGTAAAAAACCCAATTTAAAAAGAATAAACTAAACCCCAATGTAAGATGAACGATTTGAAAAACCACAGCGTTTGATGAATTAAAAAAACCACAATGTTTGACGAATTAAAAACCACAGCGTTTGAATAACTTAATAAACCCACAATGTATGATGAACGATTTGAAAAAACCACAGCGTTTGAATGACTTAATAAACCCGCAATGTATGATGAAATAATTGAAAAAAAACCCAATGTTTGATGAATGACTCGAAAACCACATTTAAAAAGAATAAGTTGAACCCCAATGTATGATGAGTGACTTGAAAACCCAATTAGAAAGAATATATCGAACCCCCAATTTAATATATGGAACCGCCAATGTTTGATGAATGACTTGAAAACTCCAAATAGAAAGAATATATCGAACCCCTATGTTTGATGAGTGACCTGAAAAAAACCCCAGTGTTTGATGAATTACTTGAAAACTACAATTATAAAGAAAATACTGAACCGCGATATAATGGAATATATGGAACCCCCAATGTATGAATAATTACTCGAAATAAATAACGTATTGAAACTGAAAAAGAAAGAATTGAATCTGAACTAAATAAGTATTAAAATTAGATATTAGTTTCTTTTATATTCAAATTTAATAATAATTATGTAAATATAACATTATAGTTACCTTAAAATTATGAATATCCAATGTAGACTTAAATAGAATGTGTGAAGCTTGGAAGAGAATGAATTATACTAAATATGAATTAAATGTTAGTTTATTTTATATTCAAAATTAATTTACGAAGTTATAAACACTATAGTTACCTTAATTATATATATGCCTTATTATTGACAATAAAGATAGAACATGGTTGTACTGAAGAGAAAAAACCTGATAATACCGAGAGAGAAAGAATTATAAATAAACTATATAAGAATTAAAATTAAATATTAGTTTCTTTTATATTTAAATATAATAATTATGTAAATATAAACATTATAGTTACCTGAATAATGTCAATGCCCTATTGTTGACATTAAAGAAAGAGCATGGTTATACTGAAGAGAAAGAACCCGATAATACTGAGAGAGAAAGAATCTTGTTATACTGGAGAGAAAGAACCTGATAATACTGAGAGAAAGGATTATAATTATACTATATAAAAATTAAAATAAAATATTAGTTTCATTTATAATCAAATTTAATAATATTTTAGTAAATATTAATATTGTAGTTACAATAGGGAACTTGTACATGGAACCTTGAGAACGTTATTTTGTAGAGTTGAAGCTATTGCGATAAATTATTCTAATAATGTTGATAACGATGAGAATGTTGTCCAATGATGATGTTTGCAGTTTAACCTTTTTTTGATTTCTTAATAATTACGTTTCCATATGGATGGTGTATTGATTTATGTCCATGTAATCATAGAATTCGTGGCCAGATAATTGATACATTTTCATGAAATCTAATAATTACCATTTGAAACGGTAATGGAAATCTATTCGATATCCATTGGGTCAAACAATTCCAAATCGATATTGGATTCGTTGGAATTTGCATCATCATTATTTAAATTGGTGGACTTTGATCACCTTGCTCTATGTTGGCTTCATTTGTTGAACCATTGACTCTCTACAATTAAATAATAAATTAAATTAATATATATTTTATTTATTATGTATAAAATATGAATGTATGAATTACTTACTCTTACCAAATAGAATGGATCTCTACAATTTGGACATGTGTTATCACGACGATAAGAACATTCCATAATGCAATTGTAACAAAACTTGTGGTTACAATCGATTGCGGCAAGTTGGCTTGGTTCAATACTGTCCATACAAATAGTGCAAGTATCTTGATTTTCTCTACGTTCTGCTTCTTCTCTTTCTTGTTGTTCTCTTTGTTGTTGTTCCCTTTCTTGATTTTCTCTTTCTTCTCTTTCTTGTTGTTCTCTTTCTTGTTGTTCTTTTTCTCTTTCTTCTCTTTCTTCTCTTTCTAATATTTCTCTTTCCAATCTTTCTCTTTCTAAATTTTCTAAACGTACCCTTTCCATTGCTCTTTGTAATGTTTCTTTTAAAATTGTTTGGGTACGTTCTAATTCTTCTCTTTCTCTTTGTTCTTTTTCTCTTTGTTCTTTTTCTTTTTTTTCTCTTTCTTTTTCTATTCTTTGCTTTTCCTTAGCTTCTCTACGTTCTTTAATTTCTTTTTCTAGTCTTTCTTTTATTAATCTTTGTCTTTCCAAAGATTCTCTATGTTCTCTTTCTTTTCTTTCTTTTTCTAATTTTTCAATACGGTCTCTTTCTTGGGTTTCTCTTTTTAATTGTTCCATATATTCCTTTTCTTTTTGTTGTTCCATTTTTAATATTTCCATATTTTCTTTTTCTAATTTTTCTTTTTCCATTCTTTCACTGGTGTGGTCGAATGGTGAATATGGAAATACATTTTCTGGTTCTTTTGGGGCATGGAGTTTTTCAAGAAATTGTTTTGGGGAATGACTTAAAATTTCTTGGGTTACTGAGGAACGACCAGAATTGTCTTGATTATTATGATATTCGGAACAACAATATACGTGTCTGAATGCGGAATAATGGAATGTTGAGGAACTATCATACTTGTTTTTTTCTTTTGGGGATTGATCGATTGGGGTAGAATTTGTGGTTTCGTTAATTTTGTGGTTGTTAGTGTGGGTGTCGTTGTTGATGTGGGTGTGGTTATTGGTGTCGGTGTGGTTATTGGTTTGGGTGTGGCTATTGGTTTGGGCGTGGCTATTGGTTTGGGTTTCTTGTGGGGTGGAACGGAAAATAATTTTTAAAATTATTATTGACCAAATAAAAATAGCAAATAAAATTGATTCTAACATTTTTTTAATTAATGAGTGAATATAAAAAAATGAAGATTATTATGGAATGTGAAATATAATTGCTATTATTTAAAACTTTTTTTTGATATTATATACTATGTGAAACTATATGCTATTAAAATTTTGATTTTTTATTTAATTAAAAAAGAATTTTTTTTTTTTATTTTTTTGTGTGGGTTTGTAAAAAAAAAAAAAAAAATTAAAAAAAAAAGTTGTTATAATAACTTTATATAAAACAATGTTTATTTTATTATAATATTTTTTAAAAATTAAAAAAAAAAAAAAAAAAAAAAAAAAAAAAAAAAAAAAAAAGAAAAAAATAATCACAAACACAATGTGGTTGAATTTCATACTCTTATTACAATTTCTTTATTATAAAATTGATAATGTATATGACACATTGCAATGACATATAAAACATGATATATGTTTTAATTATTTAATTGTGAAATATCACCTATGATCGCAATAATCTTTGATAGTTGTTTTTGAGTTAGACTGTTATATAGTTGATGGTGTTTAAGATTATTTTAAAATATATTTTTATTAATTAATATCATTTATTTTTATTTAATTTAATTATAATACCCATTTTATATTTTATTTAAAATTTTAGAACTCTTTTAATAATTATGATATTGTCTTTAAAAAATATTTAATTTATTTATTAAGTTTACTTAATCTAATTACTTTTTTTATATATTTAAGTTCTATTCTTCTTTTATATACAGCAAAAGTTCCACCTATAATAAGTGCAACACCAACAACACTTGCTACTATAGCAACGGGTATTATATATGATTTTTTAGAAGAGCTTTCACAGTTTGATTTGAAGTCTGGTGATACTAGAACTGAAAAGTCTGGATCGATATGACATTGATTGCAATGTGGTATATTAATCCCAATAGTTATTGATTCGTTGGTATTTGATATTAGCGATGTTGTGATTGTTCTTGGACGTTCATCCAACATTGCCCTATTTATAAATCTACCATAGAGTACTTTATTATCTTTTCTGATTGTAATATAGTTTAATAACTGATTATCAAATAATGATGTTGTTGATTCAGTTGATTTGGTGTTACAATCGATTGTATTTGACGATACATTTGATATCATTTGTAATTGTAATGTGTTTAGTGGACTTTGATATCGATAGTTGGTAATTGATACCGATACTTTGATGGATCCTGGTTCTAATTTAAAATCGATACCTGCAAAAGAATAATTTGATTCTTTTTTAATTTCTTGAACCAATAACACTACTTGACAATCAATTTCTTTTAAAGTTTGGGAAAATGATACAGTAGAGTTGTATTCATTATCATTTGTATTATTTACAATCCAGTTTGTTTCTAATGGATATTCTTTTATTGGTTCACTGTTAATATTTAGTTCTAATAATGATGTAATATAAATGTTATAAGATGTATTTTCGTTTACTACAGTTGTTGAGCCATCTGGGTTTACAGTACTATTTGATTTTGGACCTCCTTCGTTTGGATTTAGAACTTGAGTGCTACAATCGATACCCATCCAGTTTGATTTGCATAGACAATTACCTGTGGATGTATTACAAATACCATTTGATTCACTTGTGCAGTTATTTAAACATGATTGTTCAATAGAAATATAAGTATACATTTTAGCACCAACCCATTCAATACCATTTTGAACAACAGTTATATCATGTGAACCCTTTCCTGCATTAATTACACAATTTAATGAATATGTTGATATTAAAAGGCTCGAGCATTCGTTGTCACCAATGAATACCTTGCTATTTTCGTGAATATCACCAAACCAACCATTCATTTGAACAAAGCCACCATTTTCGTCAGTTGATAATACTGATGACACATATTGGTTTGGAGTTGAGCAAATTTGACCTGTCCATTCAGAATTACAATCACATTTACCTATATTTCCATAATAGTAATTACATTGTCCTTTTGGGTATGAGCAAAAGGTTGGGTCGCATTGTGAGTATAGATTTTCATCTTCTAAATCGTAATTGAATTTGGTTTCTAGCTCATCTATTCTTATAGTGCTGGAGAGATTTTTAAATTGTGTAGGGACTGTTGAAAGTTGACATTGGATAAAATAAAATTGAGTATTTTCCACAATACAACTAATTCCCCCAACTATTATTCTTACAAAAGAAGGATCATATGAAAAATACTGACCACTAATTGTTAATTGCTCCCCTATTTTAGTTATATTAAAAATTTGAGGAGGATATGGATCTGGTGATGCCCAAAATATTTGATTGCTTATTGTAAAATTAATTTTGTGTATCAATCTTTCTGGTGAATAATATGCCTCCATTATTGAATTGGCTTTTATAATTTCAAAGTTATATATATTAGGTTCATAAATAATTTTGTTTTGATCATAACCAATATTTAAACCATATAACCTGACTTTTGGAATTTTTAAAAATTGTTTATTTATCATTTGTTCATAGGTGATTTTGAGATTTGGTATTATTTCTAAATTAAAAATAATTATGTTAACATTTTTTTTTAAATTTTTTTTGTTTTATCTATTATTACTTACTGCAATCAGTTCTATCATCAATATTATTAAAATTATTGCCTTCAAAATTTAATATAAAAGCTGGATCTTTTAAATTACATACGTAACAGTCTGGTAAGCTTCCATTAAGTTGGTTATCTTTAACATTTAAAAGCACAGAACAATAAGATTTGTCAATTGAGCCCATAAGATTATTACCTTCTAAATTTAGATTTACAATTTTATTTACATTCTCTTCCCACTTTGGAAGGGTCCCAACAATTGAATTTCCTTTAAATGATGAATTGACAATTGAAGTATTTCTAAAAATACTAAAGTCTGGTAATAACTCTATTTTTCCATTTTCAAAAGAACTAAAATTAATATTAATAAAGTATATTTAATTTGTTTTTAAATAAACTAAATGATAAACTTACAAAGATTTTAAATTTGGTGGTAATCTTTTTAAAGGAAATTGGCCATTAATATTAAAAACTGGACCTACATTGGTGAGTAAACTATAAAAAAGAAATAACTTATATTAACATTATTATATAATTTTAAAAGATTTCTACATATTACTGCTAATTACAAATTATTATATGGAAATGATTCAAAGTATAAAAAATCATTTGGTTTTTCAATTCGATAACCGATTTCTCTATAGTTTATAAAAATAAAAATTAATATAATTTAGTTTTAAAATTATTTTTAAATAAAACTTACAAATAATCCAATAGTTTTGAAAAAGCCCTATTTGGTAAAACTTGAATAGGGACCAATGGATAGGTTTTAGTTGGGTCACCATATAATGAAAGATATGCCACGTTTGAATATGTTGTTAAATTATTAAAATTATTATCAAAATCTGTTCCAAGTGTCAAAGAAATATGTCCATTGCAAAATACATCTTCCATTGAAAATATTCTTCTAACTGGTAGTGAAAACCCATAAATTGTCTTTGATTCCCCAACATAATCATTATTTATAATAAAATTATAATTATAGTTTAGAGGATATTCGGACTTCACTTCTAATATTCTTGTTCTATCACCAATTAGATTTGATAATAAAACTGGTTCTTGTACTTTAGAATTAAGTTCAATATATAATTGTTCTACATTAGTTGGTTGGTTATAATTAAATCCATTACAACTTTTTATATGCCTAATAAGAAACATATTAATATTAATATTTCATTACTTAAAAAAAAATTAAAAATTATTAAATAAAATACTAACAGTGTATCTAAATTAAATCTTGAGTAAAATTTATAAAAAGTTTCTGCAAGGATCCAATTTTTAATAAAAATTCTTCTTAAATTAGATTGTGTTATACATGAGAAGTCAGTATAATCTATTACTTCATTTGATTCTTGCTGTAAAGAACTGTTTTTATTAAAAAAAATAATAATTAATATTTTAATTATTTAATTATATGTTTCTATTATTACTTACAATTCACTAACATTGTAAAGAAAACAAGAGAACCTATCTAATGTTGTACCAGGGGCACAATAGTCAAATAGGGTTGTTGAGGATTGATAAAAGGAAAAATTATTATTTGCCCCAATTTTAAAAATTAAATTACTAAAGCATGTTTCTATTTAAATATTTGTAATGATAAAACATAATATTAGTACTATTTATTTTTTTAACAATGATTTGTTTATTAATTGAATTAAAGTTAATAGTTACGTTCTTCTAAGTTATATTGGTGTGTAAAAATAAAATATAAAAATAAAAATAAAATGAATTTCATTTTTTTTTAATTTTTAAATTATTTATAAAAAATTAAAAAAGAAATAATTTATCCTATTTTAAAAAATTACAAATATAAATTTATATTTTGATTGTAAGAGTGATTTGATTTGAAGTGATATTAAAAAAAAAAAAAAACATTCTTTTAAATTTTTTTATTAATTTTTTCCCCTATATTTTTTATTTAAAAATATAAAACTTTAAAATAAAATAAAATTATAAAGAATTTTATTCAATCAACCTCATGATCTTTTCTGATTATTAATATATTAGGGATCTGGCTAAATTTTAAATATCAAAAAATACAATTAAAAAAAAATAATAAAAATCTTGAGATATTTTACTTTAGAAAAAAATCACTTATTTTTTTTTTCAATTGCTATAGGCAATAAAGTTTGATTACACACGTCATAAATGCTATTATAAAAAAATCTATTTATTTTTTTAAAGCTTTAATTACCTTTTTATATTCGAAAAGCAATTACCTTATATTTTTTATAAAAAAAACTAAAATAAAGACCAATGATCGGAAGTATTATTTTTTTCTCAATTTATTTTTTTTTTTTTTTAAATTAGCCCAATAAAAATCATTTGAAAAGGCATTATTCACTCAACTAGTTTTTAATTATTAAAGAAAAAATATAAAGTTATTTATATAGGTTCTAAAGAATCTATAGAATTACTTTGAAAACTTTTTTAATTTTTTTCTTAAAAATTAATTTGTAAATTAGAAATTTTTTAATTTTTTAATTTTTTATTTTTTTATTTTTTTATTTTTTTATTTTTTTTATTTTTATTTATAGTATTATATTTTAATTATCTAAGCCATCCATTTGTACTTGATCAAGTCTCTTTTTGAAATATAATGCTTTTTTCTTTTTATAAACTATATATAAGGCACAAACAATTAGAGCAACACCAACAACACTTACAACTACTGCAACGGGTATAACATATGATTTTTTTGAAGAGCCTTCACAGTTTGATTTGAAGTCTGGTGATACTAGAACTGAAAAGTCTGGATCGATATGACATTGATTGCAATGTGGCATATTAATTCCAATGGTTATTGATTCATTGACGTTTGCTATTAGCGATGTTGTGATTGTTCTTGGACGTTCATCCAACATTGCCCTATTTATAAATCTACCATAGAGTACTTTATTATCTTTTCTGATTGTAATATAGTTTAATAACTGATTATCAAATAATGATGTTGTTGATTCAGTTGATTTGGTGTTACAATCGATTGTATTTGACGATACATTTGATATCATTTGTAATTGTAATGTGTTTAGTGGACTTTGATATCGATAGTTGGTAATTGATACCGATACTTTGATGGATCCTGGTTCTAATTTAAAATCGATACCTGCAAATGAATAGTTAGATTCTTTTTTAATTTCTTGAACCAATAACACTACTTGACAACCAGTTCCTTTTAAAGTTTGCGAAAAGTAAATTTCTGAACTAATTTCGTTATTTTTATTTGTTTGGTTAACAACCCAATTGTTTTCTAATGGGTATCTTTTAACTTCCGCACTGCTATAGTCCAACTCTAATAAAGATGTGATATAAATGTTATAGGCTGTATTTTCGTTTACTACAGTTGTTGAGCCATCTGGGTTTACAGTACTATTTGATTTTGGTGATGTATTTTCATTGGGATTTCTAATTGGAGAGCTACAATCTAGACCATTCCAGCTACTGTTACATTCACAAAAACCAGTAGATGTATCACAAACACCATGTAATGAGTTGGTACAGTTATTTAAACATTTTTGTTGGCCTTCTATACTACAATCTGCACCATAGTAACCTAAAGAACAAGAGCATCCTCCTTCTACACAAATTCCTTTCCCACAACTTCTACCATCTTCACACATACAAAACCCTGTATTATAATCACAAGTTCCACCGTTTGGATAATTGCAGTACTCTGGACATGAGTAGTAAATATTTGAAATTTTACTTATATCATTTCCTATATTTAAAAGGAACTTAGTTTCTAAATCGTCTACTCTAATCAATGAGGAGACGTTTGTATTTGGATAATATTCACTTTGGAGTGAACATTTTATTTCATAAAATGTAGTTGACACTATAACACACCCTCTTTTATCTATTTGTACCACAACAAGTTGCTTGTTATATGAAAAGTATTGGCCCTTAATTACCACTGAACCTTGAAGGTTATCTATAGTTAAAGACTGTAATTCGGGAGGATATGGCCAAGGAGCTACTGTAAAAACTTTCCCAGATAAAGAAAATGTAACGTTATGTATTGTTCGATTTGGTACATATTCAGTTGTTAAAAATAATGAATTTGGTTGATCTATTTGAAATCCTTTTATTACTGGTGAGAATTCAAAGGTTCTTGTAGAATAACCTAAATTGCTTCCGTTGAGATACAAATAAGTGGGGTTAGTTTTCGACAAATTTAAATGGGGAATAATTTCTTTTTTGTTTTTATATTAAAATAAATAAAATTTAATTAGTTTTCATATTCACTTTATTTTTATATTTTTTGTTGTTTTACTTACCACAATCTGCAGTTTTGTTATCGATATTATCAAAATAATTTTCAATAAAATTATTTTTGAAATCTGGGTCTAACAAATTACATGCATAACAGTTTGGTAAATCTCCACTCAATTTATTATCTCTAACATTTAAAATTACTGAACAGTAAGAAGCATCAATTGTACCAATCATTTTATTATTTTCTAAATTATAATATATATTATTTAAACCATCCCATAGTTGTGGCAGACTACTAATTGAATTAAAACTTAAATCCAAATATGGGATACCTTTAAAAATTTTTAAACTTGGCAAAGAAGTTAAAGCATTATTGCTATAATTACTGTTGTTTTTAATTTTAATTGATATTAATTGGTATAAGCATAAAAATTAAACTATAAAATAAAATACGTACAATTGTTTCAAACCAGTAGGTAACACTGAATATGGGAAACTAAATGTTCCAAAAGGTCTAAAAATATTATAATAATTATTAACAAAATACACTTATTTATTATATATGGATTTAATATATGTAAAAATTAAAACACTACTTACGACTTTAAACCTGTAATAGATCTAATAATATTATAAAAATTAATAACTAAATACACTTATTTATTTGTATCATAATCTAAAAATTAAAATAATACTTACAAATTTTCAAAAGTTGATTGACCTGTAAGATTTAGAACTTGAGGGTATGACATTGGGAAATTTAAAACAACACTTTTCAATTTTGATCCAATAATTTTTAAAAGATTATTAAACAATGGTAGTTGGTCCATAGGATAAATTGATTCGATTACTAGTTTTGAAATGTTGGCATGAGTCGAAATGTTATAAAAAATATTTGAATAATCTGAATTACTAGGAGTAATATAATAATGAACTTCTCCCCCTTTTAAATGCTTCAATGAGGGGATTGATGGAACATCAAGTACTAAAGTTTTAATTTCTACATCTCTATCCAAATCATCTTCAATAGTAGTTGTAATATTTACTAGTTTAGATGTTAGTGGTCTTAAAATATTTGAAAGCTTAATAGTAACTAAAAAATCTGTTTTTAATATAAATTCATCTACGTTAATCTTGAAATCTAATGAGAATCCTTGACAATCTATCATAGTTCTTTTTTAATAAAGATAAAAAAATTAATAAAAGTCACATATAAAATTGAAATGTAATACTTACAATGATTTAACAAAATTAAGATTGGATGTAAATTGTAAAAAATCTGATGTAACCATCCAATTTCGCATTATTAAATTTTGAAAATTTGGGTAACACTCCAAAGAGTTTCGAGATATTCCTTTATTTTGTATATCTGTAAAATCGCTATATGATAATTATAAATAAAAGATTTTAATATCAATCCAGTTACTTTTTATATAAGTCAATCCAAAAAACATACAAACCAATGACTTTTCCATTTCTATCGCATATATATATTTCACAAAACAATGGATCCTGATTTAAAATAGGTACATTTATACCAAGTTTTGCAGCTAAGTCCGATAAACATTCTTTATCTAAATAATAATTTTAAACAATTATATTAATATTATCATCAAAAAAAAAACAAAAAAAAAAATAAACAAAAATATATACATGGATCTACCACTGTTTGAGTGTACACATTAAAAACAAAATAAGATAATAATAAAAATTTAATTAAAATCCTTATCATTTTAATGTTTATATTTATAAGATAGGTTATATGGGTGAGAAAAAAAAAAAAAATTTAAATATGAAAAAAAAAAACATTCAAAAAAATAACTTTTAAGTATAGCTTAGCCATACTGTGCAACCCAAAAATAAATGTATCTGGGCAATTAAGGAACAAAAATATCAAAGATTTTTATCTATTTGAAAAAAAAATAAAAAATTTTGATAATAAAAATATTGGGTTTTTTTATTTTCTTTGTTTTAAAAATATCTTGATTTAAAATTTTATATTCATATAAAAATAAAAAAAAAAGATAATATTCTGTTGGGTAATTGATGATGTGTGGTGATGATGCCAAAAGCTATTAAAATGTAAATTGCATATATTTTTTTTTTTCTATACATTTAAATACATTGTTTATTTATTTAACTCTTGAAGTTTTACCTTCATCACTTTAAAAGATACCTTATTTTTCTTATATATAATAGTAGAAATAATAATTATGGCAGAAAGACCTACTACGGGGACAACTATAGCCACTGGTAATAACCATTTTGGTCTATCACTGCATGATTTAAAATCATTTGAAACCAAAACAGAGAAATCTGTTTTTTTAAAAAAAAAAAGTATTAATATTTTTCTTTTACACACTAATTTTTTAAAATATATTAAAATAAATATTTACCTGGGTCTATTAAACATTCTTCAACACAATGTGGTAAATTTAATTGAACTATTACTGAGGAGTTTTGGTCATTTTTAATTACGCTGGATGATGAATAGGTTGGTCTACCGTCAGATACTACTTTTTTATAGAAAGAACCATACAATACTTTTTTATCTTTTGAAATAGTAATATAATTTGAGGTTTCGACGTTATCAATATTATTAACATTGAAATCTTGATGATTACATTCACTTTCTGAAACGACTGATGAAGAGAATAAAAGCCTGAGAGTATTTAAAGAGCTCTTAAAAATGTAGTTTTTAATTGAGAGAGATACTTTTAATGAGCCTGCTTTAAGTGAGAAACTATCACCTGCAAATTCAAATTCTTTGATTTCTTTGATCTCCTCAATCATCAATGTTATATTTCCGCTTTCTTGTAGGAGTTGTTGAGTGTAAGAGTAAACACCATTGGAATAACTTCTATTGGTCCAGTTTGATTGTAATGGATGGACCAATACATCTTTGCCATCAATCGAAACCTCTATTAAAGAAACAACAGAGATTGTAAAGTTTGTATTTTCGTTTAAGAAAGAAGTTGAACCCAAATCGTCATGGTCAATAGAAGTACCTGGGGAGCCTCCATTATCTTTTGTGCTACAATCGAAACCACTATAACCGGTTGGGCAAGAGCACTCTGAATTTTTGGTGTTGCATGTACCAATGCCACTACAGTTATTTGGACAGGTTTTATCAGAGACTGAAAAATGGTAGGTTGTAATGAAACTATACCCATTTTGTGTCATATTCAATGGCTTTTCACCCACACCTTTGTCAATGGTACAATCAACGTTGGTTGTATTAATATTTGTGATATTACATTCTTTTGACCCAATAAATACGGATGCTTCACTGTGTACTATGCCAAACCAACCAAATAAATAAACTGTTCCTCCATTAACTGGAGCTTCTTGAATAGATGAGATGTATTGAATTGGTGTTGTACAATCATCACCACCATAGTTAGAAGTGCAGATACACTCACCAATAGTTGTATTGCATTTACCACCATTATTGCATGCATGTATACACTGCACTACAACAATTGAGCAGTCATAACCTGCTCTACCATCGTTACAACTGCAAGTACCAACATCTATATCGCAAGTACCTTGGTTACTGCAACTATTTGGACAAGTATAGTAGGTATTTTTTTCTAAAAGCTTTACTGTAAATAAAGGAGATTTAAAATTACCAACTTTAATATAACTTGATTTTGGATCTGGTGATTCCCCGGAATACGCATAACTGCATTTTATTTCATAAAAAGAAGCAGAAACTATTGTAATGGGCGGATAAGATGGACCAAGGTAAACTTCAATTTCGCTCTTGTCATATGAAAAATAAAAACCTTCAATGTCTATAGTTGTTTCAGTCGAAACAATAGTAGATGGATATGGTTGTTTTTGATCATTAGTTAAAATAAAAGTTTTTGGTCCCCCAATGGTACTATTGTAGGTAATTTTAAAAACTCCTATAAAATTGCTTAAAGTATAAATCTCCCTACTATTGGTTTGAACTATCCATTCTGGGTTTGATGGGATATCTGAACTTATCCAATTACCATAAAAACCCAAATCATTGCCAACAATTGTTATTTTACCATTACCTGTTGTTTTAAGAGCTTTAGGAATAAGTGATTCACAACTGGAAGTAGGTTTTGGGAATTCTAAAAAACTTGAAGCTCTATATAAATCATCACCAAAATGACAAGTATAACAACTAAATAAAATTAAATTTGTTTTAGTAATAAAAAAAAAATAAAAAAAAAAAGATTTTATGAGAAAATTACCTTGGTAATGTTAGTGGTCCACTGTCCAAAGAACCAGAAATACGGAGATTTACTTGACAATAAGTTGAATCTACAGAGTTGATTTTTAAAACTGGATTATTTGAAAGATCTAACTCTGTTATTGGTGAATTTGGCCAAATATTTGGAAATGGGCTGGAAGCTGGGGCCAAATCATTTTTTGCCATTGAAAATGTTTTAATATTTGAACTGGTTATTACAGAATTTGTAAGTTTAACCTGACTATTTTGATTTTCTAATTGGACTATAGTATTTAAGAAACAATTAATTAAAAAAACTGTTAATATTTAATTTATATCTTTAAGAAATGATAATGGTATAACAAACATTTAGTTAAACTTGATGGAAATTGGGAGAATGGAAAACCATCAGGTACACTAGCTCTTAAAGATGATCCTGAACCAGGGGGTGAAATAATAGAAAAAGAAACTAGCTTTGATAATGGTGAAAGATCCACTTTTGATTGTAACATATCAAAACAATTATTTGATTTGCTGGAAAAAAAAAATTGTGTTAGTATTTATTTTATAAAATTAAAAAAATGAGTTTCTATAATCCTTACAATGAAAGCAATGAAGCCCCTCCACTACCAATAAGTTCTGTTGGAAATGAAATTTTAGTTGCTCCTATAACATTATCCAATGTCAAATGTTTTACTCCTGAGAATGATCCATAATTTGTTGTTAATGAACCCACTCCCTTTATAAATTTAATTGTTCTATGGAAATAGAAAAAATTAATATATTACTTTTATAAAAATAATACAATTTGATTTAATTGAAACTTACAAATAAGTTATTGATAATTTATTAAAATCTGGAATGGATGTTGACGAAAAAGAACTTTTGTTAAAAAAATAGAGTGTTAGTTTAGTTTATTATTTTAATTTTGATTTATAAAAAATACAAACAATGAATCTATATTGATTTCGCTAACTAAATCATTAGTAAAAGTTATTATTCCCTTATCGAGAGCTCCTTCAGAAAATTGGACATGGGTGCTAAATAAAATAATAATAATTTATTAATAAAATGATTTTTAAAATTAAGTATATGCATAATGAATATTTACAATTTTTTTAAATTTGAAAGATATGACAATTTTACATTTAAAGATGTATCAGTTTGAAAGAAAAACTCCTCTAGTTTATTCAATCTTTTGGTTATTGAAACTGAATCTGCTTTATTTAAGTTTAATGTTGATATCCCTTGAGCTTCAATACTATCAAAAAAGGAATCATCATAATTTGCAAAATTTATTAAAGTTAAACTTTTTAATTTTCTAAAACAAAATATATTCGATGGTACATTTTCTTTAGTTTTTGCTGTTAATGATCTATTAATAATAATAAAAAAACAATAGTGTTAATAATAATAAAAGTAATTAATTAAAGTAGTAATAAAAGTTACACTTATTACAGTGGATATAATAAATATATTGTGTCTTATTGTGTTTAATTTATGAAAATAAATTTAGAAAAAAAAATTCCAATCGAAAAAAATTAATTTTTTTAATTTTTTTTTTCCTTTAAATTGTTTTTGTTCAACCCAAAAAATGGGTAGGAAAATTTAAAAAAGCAAATTAATTACTTACAATGAGGTGACATAATCTTCACTATCACATTCTACAAGTAAAGATTTACAGAAATCATATATAGAAGTTATAGGGTCTTTTTTAAAATCGTTTTGAATGTTGGAAATGCCAGCAATGGTTTCCAAACAACTATAATCATCGGGATATTGCGATGAAGAAATTACAAAAAACAAATAAAAAAATATTAATTGAATTAAATATTTCATTATTTAAATAATTAAATTGTTTTATTATTTAATTTTTTTTATATACAGTTATTTATTTAATTAATTATTTATTTAATGGACAGAAAAAGAAAATAATTTTACAAAAATTTTATATAAAAAAATAAATAAAAAAATATTTTGAAAAAAAAAAAAATAAAAAAATAAAAATAGATATTTTTAAAAAAAACTTTATCCAAAGAAATTTACAAACAGTGCGATATTTTGATTTGAAAAAAATCAATTGATCTATAAATTATTTTATTTCCTTATTTTTATTTTTTTGACAGATTGCAAAATAATGGTGATGTTATTTATTATAATTTAATTTCTTATTGGATTGATTATAATAACCCTCTAATTAATATCTTTTTTATTTTTTTTATTTTTATTTTCTTATTTTTTTATTTTTTTATTTATTTTTTATTTTTGATTCAATATAAATAAAGTATGATTTTACCTGGTTATAAAAAAATTTATTTACTTTTATGTAACTGATTGAACTATTTGAATTATTTTTTTCCTTAAAACCAAAGAATTTTTTTTTTTTTTTTTTTTAACCCACTGCCGATATGTGAACAATTGTGGTAATAAAAAGGTTAGTTATATTGTTGTTTTTGAATTTCTTTCATTTTTTTTTTTTCCATTTTCAAGTTCACTGTTCTTAAAAACATACAAATTCAAACAACACACACATAACCTCATCAAAAATGAATGAAGATATAATGTTTTAATGAGATATAAAACAAATAACAAAAATTATTTTTAAAAAAAAATAAAAAATAAAAAAAAATTTTTTAATTTTTTTTTTTTAAAAAATAATTTTTTTTTTTTTTTTTTTAAAAATTTCACACACATTTTTTTTTTTATTTAAAAATATTTTTGATATATTTAGTTTAAACTCTATATATATATTTATTTTTTTATACAAAATAAAAAACAATTTTAAAAAAGTAAAAAAAAAAAAAAAAAAAAAAAACCAATAACACAGTGGTGGTAACAATATTTACACACAACACACATATACACATACACACACTTAATATATTTACTTGTTATCATACATATCATACCATCTAATTCTCAACAACACATCAACACAACTATCCATACTCTTTATGAATTCACTCAAACAATAATGGTTATAAAATATTTAGATATATATTAATTTATACAACTATAACACTCACTCACCCTCACCCTCACACTCACCCACATAAACAAACAAACAAACAAACAAACAAACAAACAAACAAACAAACAAACAAACAAACAAACAAACAAACAAACAAACAAACAAACAAATTTATTTATTTTATTTTATTTTATTTTATTTTATTTTATTTTATTTTATTTTATTTTGTTTTAATTTAATTATAATAATAAAAAATATTTTAATTTTAATTTTAAATTTAAGTTTGTATTTGAATATTAAAAACTATTTATATTGCGAACAAAAAATTTTATTTTGATAATTAATAATAATCAAAAACAAAAGTAAATAGGAAATAATAAAAGTTTATCATTTATTGTTATCAAGAAAAAAAAAAAAAAAAAAAATAAATAAATCTATATATACATTTAATTTTTTTTCACCACAACAATAACCCACACACTAACTTACCCTCACACACACAAATCCACAAAATACACATACATAAATATTTCTTTTCCCATACAATTATTTTGTTTTATAAAATTAATATAAAAAACAAATAAAGATAAAAATATTAATTTTAATTTTTTTTTTTTTAATTTAATTTATTTTTAAAAATTTTATTTATTAAATAACATAATAATAAAAACAGAAAAAAAAAAAAAAAAAAGAAATTATCACACAAAGTACAGGTAATTAATAATAAAAATAATAATAATAGAATAGTAAATTAATACTAATTTTTTATACTTACTAAATATAAATATAAATAAAAATAAAGATAGCAATAATAAATAAACTAAATATTTAATCATTTAATTATTATTATACATATTTAAAATATTTTAATAGGTTTTTTTTTTTTTTTTAAATTAAAATATATATTTTTAATAATATATATTTTAAAATAGAAAAAAGAAAAAAAACGGTTTAGTTTATAAACTGGGGCTATTTCAAAAAAAGAGGGGAAAACCCTCAAAGGAGGAGGTTTTGGCAAGTAAGAGGGAAGAAGCAAATTTATTAGCCAATCAACTACATCTTCGTCTCATTGAAATCAACAAGCTTACTGATGAAAGGGCTCCACATTTTATGAATTCCCCACTCAGGGAAGAAATAGAAAATGAATTTACCCAAGCCAAAGAAATTATCTCTAAAAAGTATAAGGTTGTCAAAGATGTTATATTAGAAGTAGAAGCAGAATTAGAAGGTGATGAAAACAATAACCCAAATACAATAAAGAAATTGATCAACCTTTTGAATGAGGTTTTGGATATACCTCCACCATTAGCAAATATTGTAACTCTAACCAAAAAAAGCGTTGACAAGAAAATTGAAAAATCAAAGAGAAGAAGTTCTGGTAGCAGTAGCAGTAAAAGAAATAGTTTTAGTGATAATGATTTAAATAGCTCTACCGGCATTGGTAACAATCAGCCCAATATTATTAGAGATAGCAATGCAAGTGGTGGTAGTAGCGGTGGTGGTGCCTATGGCGCAATTAGGGATAGTAATGGTCTTCTAAATAGTAATGGCATTAATGTCAGCAGCAGTAGTGTAAATGTTGGAAATGTTAGTGCATTATCAAATAGTAATGGAAGTAGTGAAAACGCTCAAAATGATAATGATAACAATGCTGGCACCTCAAATGGTTCATCAAATGATTTTAGTGAGGGTTCAAATTCAGATTATAATGATAATACTTCAGATAGTGGTTTAAATTCTATAAACAATACAAGTACTCAAAGTAATAAAAACAATACACTTTTTAATAGCACAATAACACCAAATAACAATAATACTTCAATAGTTGTAAATAGTAGTAATAATAATAGTAATAGTAGAAGTAGTAATGGTTTAAATGTTAATAGTAATAGCAATAATAATAATAATAATAATAATAATAGTAATAGTAATAACAACAGTAATGGCAACAATGCCAATAACAACAATAACAATAACAACAATAATAACAATAGAAGATTAAGTGCTAATCAAGGATCAGAACTGGGTTCAGTTACAACCGAAAAAGACTGTGATATTGATTTGGAACAAATTGATATTGACCATGAAAAAATTCCAGCACCACAAAGATCGTCCCAAAGAAATGTAAACTCCTATAAAAATCTTAGACCTGCAGATATTGATATTGGTATTGATGATATTGATGGTATTGAAATCAGAAGACCAATTGATGAAAATCCTGGAATTGACGAGGACGAATTTGAAATTATTGAAAAGCCAATGCCTCAACAGCAACAATTGCAAACACAAAATAGAAAAAATTCAAACCCAAGTTTAAATGAAGAAACAATAACTGATAAAGATAAATCAATAAAATATATAAACAATAGTAACTCTGTAAATAATTCAACTAGTGCAGTTAATTCAACACCAGTAAATAATAATACAACCACAAACAACAATACTAATAATGTTAATAATAATAACAATAATAACCATAACACTAATAATAGCCCAAATGCCTCAGACAATACAAATAATAATAGTGTAATTCCACATATCTTTGAATTTGACGATGTTGATAATCAACAATATTCACAAACAAATGCACCAAATAACGGCTCATGGGTAATAACCATTTCAAATTTTACTCACAAGAGGGATCAATTCTATACATCAATTTTCCCATTAGTTGGCGCCAACTGGCGTTTAAAAATATATCCAGATGGTAAAGATTCAACTGGTAAACTTTCAATTTTCGTTAGTAACTGTGATATGTTAGATAATCCATTCTTTGAAAAGTCAGTCTCATACAGAATTACTTTGGTAAATATGAAAAAACCAAATGAAAGTCTTGAAAAATGTAAGTATTGGCACATAATAATTTAATTTTAAAAAATTATATATTAATTATTTTTTTATTTTTTTAAAAACTATAGTCTCAGCTCACAATTTTAATATGAAAGAATTAAATCATGGTTATGTTACATTTGTTAGATTATTTACAATTTTAAATCCAGAGAATGGTTTTTTAGTCAACAACCGTTTAAAGATTAAAATAGATATGGCTTCAACCTCTCCTTTGATTGACAATTCTAGCAAATTCAATATCGGTGCTACCCAAACCTACTCTTATCGTATTCCATCCATCTCCAAAAAATTGGATGCTTTTTCATCACCAGTTTTCAAATGTTGTGATAAACTGTGGTCCATTAAGGTACATCCATGTGGTCAACCAGTCAGTAACCAAGTTTCAGTGTACTTGGAATATAAAGACAGTGGCGAAGAAAACGTATTGTTTTCTTTAGAATTGGTCAGTCAAACATATCCCGATAAATCAATTAAAAACTGGGTTCAGTACACTTTTAATAGCAAGAATCTTTCATTTGGTTATCCAAAATTCATCGGTATTTTTTCTTTATTCGATCCAGAAATGGGTTTTATCATTAATGATTCTATCATTATGAATGTAACTTTAATTCAACTTAAACCTCAAAAGAGAAGATTATTTGGTTTATAAATATTCAAAAAAAAAAAAAAAAAAAAAAAAAAGGAAAAAAAAAAGAAAAAAAAAAAAAAAAAATTTGTGTAAAAATTAAAACCCAACAAATTAATGTCTTTTAAACTATAGCCTTAATACTTAAAGGAATAATTATAATAATAATAATCCTATCTGCCGTTCATAATCCTTAATTTTTAAATAAATAAATAATTATTTATAGTTTTTTAAAAAATTAGCAACAAGACTTTTTTTTTTTTTTTTAAATATTTTAAATTTTATTTGGTTTTATTTGTGTGATGTATACATGTTTGGAGTTATAAAGAAAAAAACTATATATTATAATTTCATTCTTTTTTTTTTTTTTTTTTTTTTTTTTTTTTGGTTTAAAAAAATGTTTTGGGTTTTATTAACAAAGATATTTGAAAAAAAAATGCTTTAAAAATTATTATTATTATTATTATTATTATTTACTATTATTATTCCCATTATTATTTATTTTTAAATTAACAACCTGTTTTAAATTGAGGTGGGGCCGCCCCCGTTGTTGCGGGTCCCCTCAGTTTAAAACCCGGGGTTTGTCCCTGGGTTTGAAAGGGTTCTAAAATGCCCTTGACCAATTCTTCTATAGCTCCCTTTATACCCGTATCCCCTTTTGCCGA